TGATAACCCCCACTCGTCATGCGGTTGGTTATGCCCCACGTTCGCTGTTGGGTGGTTTTCGTCCATCTTATGACTACGCTTGTTGCTGGGTGGTTTTCATCTGTCTCATGGCTATTTATTTGGCTAAGCATGGTGGGCGTCGACGTCGAAGGCCCTATAATGGTAGACGGCCCATGCGAGGGTAGAGGGCCTCCGGGGGGTCGATGTCCTAGGGGGCGCACGTTAAGTAACCGACCATCGCGTAGAATTGTTAACGCCAACCTGTATCAGATTCCTTCATCGGCGTTTTATATGATTTTGGTGTTTTTGAATGCATATTTGTGATTTGATTGTTATAAGTTGCACATATTCAGGTTCAATTGTGTAGAATAGTAGATTGAATTTTGCAGTCTGTGTTTTTGAGATTATTGGTTAACTGGTTAATCCAGATTCCAATGCTTTGCAGTTCTTGATTTTCTCTCATTTTCCCCCATTTTCTAATATGAATATGAAGCATTGAAATAGCAGCCAAGAATTTCACACTTTGTATTGAAGTCCCAACACACCATTGAAGGTCTTCAGCCTTGGACAATCAGCCATTTTCACCACTTCTTCTAAGCCAGAAAGAGAGCCTGTCAATGCTGATTCCACTAACTCGTTAACCTGAGTCATTGTTAAGTCACAACTGTTCATGACTCGGCTCTCTAGCATGGCTAACTCCACCATTCTCCAGTCTGCCACCTGTTGCCACTCCATTTCTCTCTTCAACATGTCCTCCTCCGCTTTGATCTTCTCTCTCAAAGCTTCATATTTTTTTCATATGTTCGTCAGTCATACCTGCTAGACTTGCACCAGGTGTTTGCGTTTTTGTGAGCGAGTCAATGAGTTGAAAAGCCATTGATGGCTTCCAACCAGTGATCCAAGAAGGCATTCTTGAGTGGACTTTGCCAAACTGGGGCGAAAAATGCTAAAAATTCTTCACTTGCCGCAGCCCATTTTGCAGTGTAGTAATCTTTATAATGTGTTGTGACTTTTTTTTCACTAAATTCCCATGATCATCGGCTTTATATTTTTATCATTAAATTCGTAACCAAAAACTCGACGTTTAACATCAATAAATTGTGCACACACTGAGTTACTTTCCTGGCTCCGCCCTTGTTAGGTAGGTCATATTTTGCTCATTTATGGATATCTACTTCATAGCAACATAATTTAAATTTGTAAAAAAAGAAAAAAAAAATTGGTTTACATTCTTTTCTTTCTAAGTAGTGGAGTAAATAGCGAATTTGTATCAATTATACAATAAAATCATTTAAAAGTAATAAAAAAAATCAGAAGAACATTAAAAAACCCAGTAAGAAATTACAAACATGTCATCAAGGAACATAAATATGACTTCGTTTCATAAAGTAGACGAAATACATATGTAGTAATAGGTACCAATAGAGAGAATGCAACATCTTTTTATACTTTTTTTTCGCAAAAAAGAGAATAGGCCAAACATGACCTGAGTTAAAACATAAAATCAAGAATGGATATCATAAAAAATACCATTTAGGCTTTTTTTAATGGGCCATTCTCCTTTTTAAAAATAGTCTTTTTTTAATTCATTTTCAAAAACCTGAAAAAAGCGTACTTCAAATGAGGCGTACGCCTCATTTTTTTTGCCT